ACAGAGACATTTTCGCCTGCCCTCAGCTTTGGGTTCTGTGAAAACTTTCTCTGAAAATAGTTGGCGCTGCAGTTATTTGTTGCCTTGTCACTTACCACAGTAACTGTAGGAAAAAGTTGCATCGGAGGAGTTGCAGAACCACAGTTGCTGTTCAGATTCAGTAAATATGAGAGGAAGCAGCGTGGAAAAGAGAATAAATGGCAACATGATTTAATATCTCCAACACTTTCCACACTCAGGGAAGATCATCAGACTCGACAGTGAGGAAGAAGGAACAAACTTAGTCACCAGTCATGTGATTTCATAGTTCCCATCCAACTGTTTCCTCTTTTTATTTGTGTGACTGTGCATTTGTTTTCGTTATCTGTGCACCTTCTGCTGCAAGGCAAGAGAAAGAAAATGACCTAGAATATACTGTTTCTGAACACTTAATGTAAATTAAAGTAATTGGCATTTTATTTACTTATTTAATCATTAGCACACAGGAAGTTTTCAGTGAGACGAAATGTCCTACAGGAGACCCTTTCTTAAAGTAAACTCAGCTGGGCATATTGGCGAAACACCTTTAAACCTAGCACTTGGGAGGCAAGGGCAGGTGGATCTCTGTCAGTTCGAGGCTAGCCTGATCTACAGAGTGAGTTCCAGAACAGCCAGGGCTATATCTTGAGACCCTGTCTCGAGAAAGAAAGAAGATCCACCATGGGTCTCACTACTACTCTGTGTGCATGACATTCTCTCCTGCAAGCTCATACAGTGGTTTCTCCTGGCCTGGAAAGATGCATCTAGCTATGTGAGCTGATCTCTTGAAAACTATTTCTACACAACAACAAAAAGGTTCAACCACAAAATAGAAAGGTGGATGATACCCCCACACTGGGGATATCAGCTGCAGTTCCCAGCTGGGACCTCACCAGTCTTGAGAAGATACTCAAAAGGAAGTTGAGCTTGAGGCTGTGGTGTTGAGTTGGGGTGGACTGAATTGGGATTGGTGCTGTGTATGCTAATATGTGCCCTAAGGGAGTCCTAAGTCCTCTTCTGAACATGGGAACTGCACTCCTCTGTGCAAATGCACACACACACAGACACATATACACATATTTTTAGAAAGTTTTCTGGGTAGTGGAAGTGCACACATTTAATTGGGAGGCAGAGGTAGGCAGATCTCTGTGAAATTGAGGTCATCCTAGTCTACAGAGTGGGTTCCAGGACAACAAAGGCTACACAGAGAAACCCTGTCCTGAAAAATCATAAATAAATAAATAAATAAATGGATAGATAGATAGATAGATAGATAGATAGATAGACAGATAGGTTGATAAATAAATAATGGGTGCTGGAGACATGTTTCAGCTATAAAGAGTATTGGCTCTTGCTGAAGACCAGGGCTCAATTTCCAGCAACTACATAAAGGCTCACAACCATCTGTAACACCATTATCAGGGTATCCAATGTCCTCCAATGTCCTCTGCTGGCCTCGATGGGTACCAGACACACACAAGGCCAACAGTCACACATGCACACAAAACACCCATGCACATAAAATAAATACGTATTTTTAAATATAACATAATAAAAAATCTTTTTCAAAAAAAACAAAACAAAACAAACTATATCAGGTCAGGCATGGCAAAAGAGCTACAGGATGTTCTACTTGGGAGACAGAGGCAGGAGGATCAGGAGTTCAATGTTAGTCTCAATTACAGAGTGAATTCAAAGCTAACCTGGGGTACATGAGACCAGAATTCAAATAAATAAACTAATAAATAAATCATAAAAACTAGGCCATACTCCATAAAATCAGAAAACTTAAGGAGATGGACAATTTTCTAGATAAGTACCACATACCAAAATTAAATCAAGAACAGATAAAAAACTCAAATACACCTATAACCCATAAGAAAATAGAAACAGTTATCAATAGTCTCCCAACCAAAAAAATGCCCAGGCCCAGATGGTTTCAGCACAGAATTCTATCAGATGTTCAAAGAAGAACTAATATCAACACTCTTCAAATTATTCCACACAATAGAAACAGAAGGAACATTGCCAAACTCTTGTTTGTTTGTTTGTTTGTTTGTTTTTTGGTTTTTTGTTTTTGTTTTGTTTTCCGAGACGGTGACAAGAACTTCCCAGCACAATTCTTCACAGACTTTGAAAGAACAATACTCAATTTTAGATGGAAAAACAAAAAAAACATAGGAAAGCTAAAACAACCCTATACAATAAAGGATCATCTGGGGGCATCACCATCCCTGACTTCAAGCTCTACTATAGAGCTATAGTAATGAAATAGTTTGGTATTAGCATAAAAACAGACAGGTGGACCAATGAAATCAAATTGAAGACCCTGATATCAACCCACACACTTATGAACACCTAATTTTTGACAAAGAAGCTAAAAATATAAAATAGAAAAGAGAAAGAAAGTATCTTCACCAAATGGTGCTGGTATAATTGGCTGTCAATAAGTAGAAGAATGCAAATAGATCCATATCTCTCACCATGCACAAAACTCAAATCAAAATATCAAAGACCTCAATATAAATCCATCCACACTGAACCTCATAGAAGAGAAAGTGGGAAATATCCTTGAACTCATAGGCACAGGAGACCACTTCCTAAATAGATCACCAGTAGCACAGATATTGAGAGCAACAGTTAATAAATGGGACCTCCTGAAACTGAGAAGTTTCTCTAAAACAAAGACCATGGTCAACAGGAGAAAATGGCTCCCTACAAAATGGGAAAAAAATCTTCACTAACCCCACATCTGACAGAGGGCTGATTTCCAAAATATACAAAGAACTCAAGAAACTAGAAATTCAACTACCAAATAATCCAATTAAAAAAAAATGGGGTACAGATCTAAACAGAATTCTCAACAGAAGAATCTCAAATGGCTGAAAGACACTCAGCATCCTTAATCATGAGGAAAATACAATCCAAAAAAACACTGAGATACCATCTTACACTGATCATAATGGCTAAAATCAAAAAACACAGATGATAGCTTATGCTGGAGAGGATGTGGAGAACTTGGAACACTCCTCCATTGCTGGTGGGAGTGCAAACTTGTACAGCCATTTTGGAAATCAGTATGGTGATTTCTCAGAAAATTAGGAATCATTCTACCTCAAGAATCACAATTCCACTTTTGGGCACATACCCAAAGGAGGCACATTCACACCACAAGGACATTTTCTCAACTATGCTCATAGCAACATTATTCATAATATCCAGAATTTGGAAACAATCTAGATAGCCCTCAACTGAAGAATGGATAAAGAAAATGTGGTATATTTACATTATAGAGTACTACTCAGCAGGAAGGAACAATTACATCCTAAAATTTGCTAGCAAATGGACAGAACTAGGAAAAAACATCTGGAGTGAGGTAACCCAGACCCAGAAAGACAAATACAGTATGTACTCACTCATAAGTGGATACCAGAAATAAAGCAAAAGATGCCCAGCCTACAATCCACAACCCCAGAGAATCTTGAATCCTCTTCAAGAAACAGATGGAAGCAGATGCAGAAATCCACAACTAACCACTGGGCCAACTTCCTGGAATACAATCGAAGTCAGGGGGGAGAGATAATATAAACAAAGGAGTCAAGACCATGATGGGGAAACTCACAGAATCAGCTGACCCAAGCTAGTGAGAGATCACTGACTCAGGTCTGACAAATGGGGAACCTAAATAAGACCAAACTAGACTCCCTTGATATAGGTGACAATGGTATGGCTGGGACAATATATGAGGTCACTGGCAGTGGGTTCAAGATTTAACTCCAATGCACAAACTGACTTAGTGGAGCGCATTCTATATGGAGATATACCTTGCTCAGCCTAGACACAGGAGTGTTGGGGGTGGGGAGGTGCCTTGGTCCTGCCTCAACCAGATGATGGGACAGGCTTAGTGGACTTCCTAGGGGAGGCCTTACCATCTCCGAGAAGCAGATGGGGGGGACAGGGGACAAGTGAGGAGAATAGGAGAGGAGGGAGGGGAAACTGAGATTGGAATGTTAAAAAAAAAAAAAATTAAGCCAGAGAACATATAAGACTGACAAAAGCTGCAGTATGTCGTGTGTTGTTTTTGTTCTTTTGGCTTTTGGGGTGGCTCACCACCCAGCTCCCAAATAAGTCACACACGGAGGCTTATTTTTAGTCATGAATGCTGGCCTTAGCTTGGCTAGTATCTAGCCAGCTTTTCTTATCTTAAATGAACCTGACTACCTTTGCCTCTGGGCTTTTTCCTTTTCTTTTGTATATCTTACTTTCACTCTTAACTCCATGGCTGGCTGGCTGGCTGGCCCTGATGTCCTCCTCTCCTTGTTCTCTTCCTCCTTTCTCCTTCTGTTTATATTCTCTGTCTGCCGGCCCTGCCTATTCTTGCTCTTGACTCGCTATTGTCTGTTCAGCTCTTTATTAGACCATAAGGTGTTTTAGACAGGCAAAGAATCACAATTTCACAGAGTGAAAGAAATGAAGCATAAACAAAAGTCACACACCTTAAAATATTCTACCGCAGCAGTGCCCTGACTTGGACACCATAATGAGGACACCTAACACATCAATGGCAATACCCACACCAACCTGTCATGTGGACCTTGAGGGACATACAGTAAGAGAACAGTTGTCCCAGTGATTTACTCAGCCCACCTCAGTCCCCTACTTGACATGGCCCAAATTTCCCTCCATCTGTCCATCTGCCACATATCCATGTGACCCTAAGCTGAAGTTCTACATCTTGGCTGGACTTTACTGTGCTGGAGCTCTGTTACCTCCAGTAGCTCTCCAGTTGAGTTTAGTATCTTCTTACAGATGTTAACAGTATGGCCACTTGGAACTTCGCCAGCCTCCTTAACACTTTTTTTTTTTTTTGTTTCTTCATTTTTTTGTTTTTTTGGTTTTGTTTTTGGAGACAGAGTTTCTCTGTGTAGCTTTGGAGCCTAACCTGGCACTCCATCTGGAGACCAGACTGGCCTCAAACTCACAGAGATCTGCCTACCTCTGCCTCCTGAGTGGTGGGATTAAAGGCGTGTGCCACCAAAGCCCGGTTCTTATAACTGCTTCTTATAATTTATGAATTTTGCAAAGTGTTAAGTAGGAAAAGTATATTCATACATTTAGAAAAACAGAACAGAAAATCTCCACTCTCATTTACTTGTGACATCCAATCTTCACCTTCTAGGCACCCACTATTATATTACCTATACGCAACTCAGGTGTGGTGGCACTCAGGAGACAGCGCAGATAGATCAAGGCCAGGCTTGTCTGCATAGTAAGTGTTGTGCCCAAGTCTAAAAGATCCCCAAAGACCACCAGGGAGATAGACCCATTGAACTGTAAAAGCAAGGTTTCATTATTCATCCAACCATGACAGGAACCCCGACTGGCTAGCTGATGAAGCAGCCTCCAGAGGGGGTGAAGTTCCCTGTCTACTGCTAGGTTTTAATGACAAAAGTCACAGGATTACATCAGTAGGTATGGATTGGTTTCTGATTGGTTGACATTTGGGAACAATTAGGAAAATTTCTCAAAGTGATATTTTGGCATGAAATACCCATGTACCAATTATTCTCATTGGTCAGTGCTGAGAGGAAACATTCTGTGGTTTCTATGGCTTTGTCTTGTTACTTGCAGGTGGCCTGTTGTACACAGACACCAGTAGTTTTCAGAACTGTATCCTGGAGACTATAGTGGAGGTTTTGGTCTCCCCTGGAGTTTCTTTTGTGGCCAAACAGTTCCCAGGAACCAAGTATCTAGGAGGCTGGGGGGGCAGGGGTGGGGGTGGGCTGGAGTTTCTTTGTGTTCAGTTTTGGCCCTAGGCTCCAGGAGGCCAGAGAATCTGGAGTTCCCTTGTGTCAGAGGCCTACATATCTTTTCTGTAGCCTGTCATGGCTGCTAAAACAAGGGCTGAGTGTCTGGTCCCTTCAGTAAGCTCCAGGCATCCAATATTACATAGTCAGACTCTTATCTAAAAACAAAAATAAATAAATGTAGCCATCCATATAGCAGAATATACACAACTATCCACATTTTTACAGAAACAATTTGTTTTTAAACATTTTATTACATAGGAACATCATTATCTGAAAATTAATCAGACATTCTGTTTGTTTCAACTTTTGGTGGTTTTTTTGTTTGTTTTTTAATTGTTGTTGCTGTTTTGTTGTTTCTTTTTGAGACAGGGTTTTTCCCTGTGTTAACAGCTCTGGCTGTCCTGGAACTCATTGTGTAGACTATGCTGGCCTCAAACTCACAGACATTCACCTACCTCTGCCTCCCAGCATTGAGTAAAGGCGTGCACCACCACTGCCCAGATCAACTTTCTGTTTTTAAGACAGTTTTACACAGCCCAGGCTGATCTCAAACCCACTACATCGCCAAGGATGACCCCAAATTTCTGATCTTTCTACCTCCATTTTCCAAGTGCTGGGATTACAGGTGTATACAAGCATATCTACTTATGTGATGAGGGTCAAACCCAAGGCTTCATGTAAGGCAAACACCACCCCAACTGCACTGTGTCTTCAGCCTTTAAACTTTTTTTAATCATTAACAATAATAAAATATAGGTAACATTATACACCGAAATACACATGACATTTAAACAAAAACAAAAAACAGATTCATTTTTCATCCTCATGCAGTTTCTGTTCACTAACTTCTACATCAAAAGTGAATGGTTTGTCATAACCCATTAGATGGTTATAGTCCTCAGGGTTTGGAAAGAGCCATGGATTGACTAATAGAGATTTTGTTTTAGCATAAAAGGTGGTAAATAAATGTGAGCTCTCTGGAATCTTCACATCATTTTGATGAAACACTGTGCTGGTTTCCAAAAGCACAGCATTGTAAGTAATGGCTTTGTAAGTGTCAGTTGTGGCTTCATGGTACAACCGAATGACATAGCCTTTTGTAAGGAAATGAAGCAGAATGGGAGTGATCACTGTAAAGCTTCCCATGATTCCATAAAATAAGATTTGCAAAGGCAGACTTCCAAATATCATATTATTTTGTGAAAGAAGATGTGGTAAAAGTGCAAGGCTGATCATACTTGTAGAATAAGAGAAACATTTCACACCTAAGGAGAAAAAACAAAAAAAGAATTAAAAATTAAGTTTTACAAAACAACCAATATTATTCTATTAATTCATCCAACCTTTTCTTCCTATGCCATTGTTACAATATGAATGCAACAGATCCCCTAGTTTCATGGCTGAACACTTAATCCCTATGATAGCACAATTTTGGGAAATTTTAGAACATTAGGAGGTAGGCCTTGGCTGTTGCAATCAGGTTGGTTGGTGGGGACATCTCGCCCTAGTCCCTTGTCTCTTTCTCCTATGTCATTAAGTGAGGAAGCTAGCTCTTCTGCCATATACTCCTACCACCCTACCACTCCTACCACCCCATTCAAGGGAATGGGGCCAAGCAACCATAAACAAATCTTCTAAAACTATGAGCCAAAATGTATCTTTCCTCCTTGAAGCAGTTTTCTTGAATACTTGGTCACGGTGATGACAAAGCTAATACACTAATCATAAACTCACCATCAACAACAAAAACAAACACAATAGACTACTTACTATGTGCTAGGCTTTGCCTAGGAGAGGTGTATAATTTCAAAAATGAGAATTGGCAAGGCAGGAGAATCACAATTTTGAGGCCATCATGGACTACATGGTAAGACAGCTTCTGAAAAAGCCAAAAGAGGGAAAGTGAATAGGTATACGAATTAGCTCTATGGGTGTATTTGCTTAATATGCTTGCTGCCATAGGTTGACCCCCAGCACTGCCAAAATCTTAAACATTGAGGAAAACAGAAGCTGAGTGGCTCATATCTATAATCCCAGTACTAAGGAGTCAAGGGCTGGAAAATCAAACCATTAAATTTATGCCAAGCCTGGGACAGAGTGAGGTACAGGCCAGCCTAAGCTACTGGCTGGGGAGATCGTTCAGTAAGTAAAGTGATTGCTGTAGGAACATGAGAACCTGAGCTCAGATTTCTAGCATCCACATAAAAGCTGAGCTTGGCAGCACACACCTATAACTCCAGAGCTGGAGAGGCTAAGACAGGCAGATTCTCTGGGCTTGCTAGCCAGCCAGTCTAACCAAAATGGTGAGCTCTAATCTGGGCATAATAGCACATGCTGCCTTTAATCCCAGCACTCAGGAGACAGAGGAAGGAGGACCTCTTGAGGTCAAGTTCATTACAGACTGAGTTCCAGAAAAGCCAGAGCTACACAGAGGAAATCCTGTCTCGAAAACCAAGGTAGAGTTTGCTGTAATTAGCTTTAACCATCAACTTGGCATACCCTAGTCACCTGAGGAAGGAGTCTCAGCTGAGACCACCCAGATCAGACCAGCCTGTGGGTGAGTCTAGAGAGGACTGTCTTGATTACTAATTGATATAGGAGTGCTCAGTCCACTTGGCAGCACCATTCTCAGGGCAGGTGGTCTTGGGTTGCACAAAAAACCTAGCCTAGTCTGTGTGTGAACCAGCAAACAGCATTCCTCCAAGGTTTCTGTTTCAAGTTTTTGCATGAGTTCCTGTCCTAACAACTTCCCTCAATGATGGCGTGCAACCTGAAGTTGAATAAATAACCCCCTAAGTTGCTTCTGGTCAGAGTATCGTATAACAGCAACAAATGAAACTAGAATAAAAGCAAAAAAGGAAAATACCTGATATCAACCTCTGTCATATACACCCCACACATGAGGGGATAAAGCAATGAACAATGCCATACAGCTAGTTAGTAAGTAGTTGGGTTGGGAGTCAACCAAGTAATATGACCCTTTGTGAATGAGGCTGAGGCAAGAGAATTGTGATTTCAAGTTCAACCTTAGTATACATCAAGACTTTGTCTCAAAAAAAATGAAACAAGCAAAATAATTTAAATACCATCTACTTAGAAAGTATGTAAGTTGAGATTCTAAAAAGTTGATTACAAAGTACATTTGGGGAAAAAAGAGGGCAAAGAGATAAAGCCCCTTCATATTAAAATCTAGTAAATTATTAAATAGTGTGGCACTTTCTCCCCCCCCAAAGAGAGAGTCTAGTGTATCACTGATGTATACAAAAAGAAAGAAACAAACAGAGCAAAATAGAAAACAACAACAACAAAATTACATTGAATTTTATGTTTAATCAAAATCAGTGGGTGAGCTGAGTGAGCATGGTGGCCCTCACCTTTAACTTGGAAGGCAGAGGCAAGCGGACCTCTGAATTCAAGTTCAGTCTGGTCTACATAGTGAGTTCCTGGATAGTCAGAGCTACACAGAGAAAAGAGAAAAGAGGGAGGGAGGGTAGAAGGCAAAAAGACTAACTAACCTAATTTCAATACCCAGAACCCACATAAAAATAGGAGAGAACTGACTCCATAATGTTGTTCTGTTTTTGTTTTCTGGAACAAGGGTTTCTCTCTATATAGCCTTAGCTGTCTTACAACTAGCTCTGTAGACCAGACTGGCCTTGAACTCACAGAGATCTATCTGTCTCTGCCTCCCCAGTATGGGATTAAATGCAGGCACCCTCACACTTGGCTATAATGTTCTTTAACCTCTACATTTGTGCCATCACACACACACACATACAAACACACTTTAAAAAATTTAAAAAGAAAATGATTAAATTTAATTAGTCCATTATTCCATAAACTGTGAAGAATCCAAAGAGTTCAGATATTTAAATGTCAAAAAAATACCACAGAGGTATCCATGAAGTCCTTTATAATATGGAATGAAAAATTCTATGTATGACTAAAAAGACAAAAACAAAGCTGGACGTGATGGTACAAACACGTAACCCCAGAACATGAAAGGTAGAAGCAGAAGTCAAAACCAGCTTCAGTTACACAGCAGGTTTGAGGCCAGCCTGAAGAACATGAGACACTATATACAAACACACATGGGGGTGGAGATAGATGCTTTAGCAGGTAAGACCCAATACTGCTCTTCCAAAGTTCAGTTCCCAGCACCCACATCCAGTGGCTGACAACTGCCTGAAACTCCAGCCTCTGAGAGGTCCAACATCTCCACCCTCTGAGGACATGAGGTCTCATGTGACATACTCCCATAAAGACACATTCACGTACATGTATTCAAAAGGTAATTAAAATAAATCTTTTAAAAAAAAATTCCAGAAACCAAGGTCAAAATACTGAAATCTGACTACATTTTTTAAAAAAGAGAGACGAAAAGGAAAACAACACAGCTAGGCATGGCACACACCAGCAATCATAGCATTTATGTGGACAGAGAAGATCAATTCAAGGCCAGCCTACTTCACCTATGAAGTTTGAGGCCAGTCTGAGCTACATCCTGTCCGTGACAGAAATATTCTGAATTTATACCAGAAATATTAGTAACCCCAACACATAAAATGTTTGTAGAAGGAGAAAACCAAAAAGCCTCACATTGTAATGGCAAATATGTAAATGGCCCTTTAAATAAACTTAAATAAATTGGTACAAAATCTCATTCATAAGATACATGTAATTAAAAAGATACATGTAATTAAAATTAATGTTAGTGCTTTGCCCTTAAATAGACAAAAACAAAAGTCTGACAACTGTTCATGAAGCTGGAACTAAGCAGCCATTTTTACATACTGCTATTGGCTGAAAGCTTAATTCTATTGTCAGTAATTTTAAAATAGTTCCTTTCCTCTTCCCACAGGTGGTTGCTATGACATCAGTATGCATGGGATAAATGAGAACCATGGTGCTTCCTATATTCCTCACCCCCCCCCTTTTTTTTTTTTTTGGTTTTTTTTGAGACAGGGTTTCTCTGTGGCTTGGAGGCTGTCCTGGGACTCGCTCTGTAGACCAGGCTGGGCTCGAAGTCACAGAGATCCACCTGCCTCTGCCTCCCAAGTGCTGGGACTAAAGGTGTGTGCCACCAACGCCCGGCTCCTCACCCCTTCTAAAATATCTTTTTTTCCTGTTTTACATTGTAGTGAGTTAAGTAGTGCCCCCTAAACTGGTGCCTGACTAGAACTTCATAATGTGTCCTTATTTGGAAATAAGATCTTTGCAGATCTGAGGAACAAGATGAGATCATGCTGGATTAAGGTAGGCTCTAAATCCAATGAGAGTGTCCTTATAAGGACAGAAAAAAAGAAGAGATGCAGGAGGCTGCCATAGGAGAGCAAACAGCAGTCACAGTGAGGCAAGTCAGAAGCCCAGAATGCTAAGTAGCCAACAGAAGCTGGATGGGATAAGCACTTCCTAGAGCCTTCCCAGGGCATGACCCCGTGCACACTTCACCTCTACACTTTTAGCCTGCAGAACTGTAAGAAACTATATTTCTATTGGTTCCAGTTTCTAAAAAGAAACTATTACACAGGAAGGTGTAGCAGCATGAACCTAATGTCACTGCATCCAGCATCAGAAGATAGCTCTCTCCTCTTTATTGAGCCCAGGACTCCACACATGGAATGGAAAAACCACACTGAGAGTGGATCTTCCCACCTCCACTATAATCTAGGCACTCTCTCTCAGACACTCCCAGAGGAGTGTAGACAAGTAAGTCTACATTAGATCCCTTCAACCATGACAAACTTCCTGCCTCTGCTAGTACTAAGTACTTCTGCACCTGCAATGCATGTGCTCCTTTCACATCTCCTCATATCCAGACTTCACTCATTAGACAAGACCCAATGGAAAGCCATCTTGATGCAACCATTCTGTTCCTTCTCTCCTCAGCCTGAACTCGTATTTAATTGTAACATTGCAAATATGGCTGATTATATGGCATATTCATCTTTTCTTTCCTACCAACTCTAAGAGTCTGCATTACCTTTAAGTTTTCATCCCTAAAAAACAGCAAATATGGTATCTATAATTACCTGGGGCTGAATTAACAATAACAGAGGGAAAGCTTTCTAGAGTCTACCGATGTGGCAGTAAGAGAAGTCTAGAATCCCAGCACCATCTCAGTATTTCTCCCTGAGCTCCCATACAGAAATAGCACCTTCCTCTACTCTAAAAATACCCCCGCCCTCCACTATCCACAGCACTGAAAGGCCCAGACAGTAACTTCCTCCACAACCTACAACTCTACTTTTTTGTTTTGTTTTTGCTTTTCAAGACAGGATTTCTCTGTATAGCCCTGTCTGTCCTGGAACTCACTCTGTAGACCAGGCTGCCCTAGAACTCAGAGATCCACCTGCCTCTGCCTCCCAAGTGCTGGGATTAAAGAAGGGCACACTGCCACCCAGCTTCAAGCAACCATTCTAAAGCGGTATTACCAAGGCCAGGCATACAGGACAGTCAAGACTATAAAGAGAGATCCTGTCTGAAAAAACAAACAAACAAAAAATGATGTTACCAGGCTTTTAGTCACAGCTTTTGTATTGTAACCAAATACTGGAGAAGAGCAATTTAAAAGAAGGAAAAGGTGGAGGCTGGAGAGATGGCTCAGTGGTTAAGAGCACTGACTGCTCTTCCAAAGGACTACGGTTCAACTCTCAGCACCCACATGGCAGCTCACAACCGTCTGTAAATCCTGTTCTGGGGCTCTGACATAGACAAACATGCAGGAAAAACACCATGCACCCAAAATTTAAAAAAAAAAAATTATTAAAAACAAAAAGGTAACTTTGACTCATAATTTCTGAGATTTCAGCCCACACCCACAATTGCTTAGTCCTATGTATGTGATCAATATCATGCCAACAAGAGTATTGTTATATAGTGGGAAACCATCAGACAAACTGGAACAGAGAAAGAGAGGGACAAGAAAGAGCTAGGAACAAGATACTCCTCCCTCCAAGAACTCACCCCCAGTGACCTAGAGGAGGGCCCATTCTCCTAAAGTTTCCACCATCGGGGGAAGTTAGACTACATTAAATACATAAGCTTTCGAGAAATACTAAAATCAAACCATAATAACATTCTTCCACCTTTTTTAGACTATTCAATTTTATTTTTCTGTTGAATACTCCAAGTGACCTAAGAAGGGAAGCTTCAACACCTAGCTTTAAGATCACAAAACCACGGGCGATGGTGGCGCACGCCTTTAATCCCAGCACTCGGGAGACAGAGGCATGTGGATCTCTGTGAGTTCGAGCCAGCCTGGTCTACAGAATGAATGCCAGGATAGGCACCAAAGCTACACAGAGAAACCCTGTCTCGAAAAACAAACAAACAACAACAACAACAACAAAAACCCAAACAAACAAGATCACAAAACCACAATTCAACCTTCAAATATCTTTAAAACTCCTAAAAGGGAAAGTCTCAACCTCTACAATGTATCAATGGGATTCAAGAAAAAAAAAAAAAAACAATTTTCCTTATGTGTTGTAATAATTGAGTGCTAAGAACATAAGTAATGTACTAAAATGTTTACTGGGTAGGGACAAGCCCAGGAGGACTCAACTCCATAAGTAAAGAACTACAGGCAATTGAGTAAAGCTGGCCTTGGGAGAGGTGATCCTCCCCAGGGAAGAGCACACCAATTGGTTTTCCAGTGTAAAACCATCAGCTCTGAGAACACAAAGAAGTAACATTGTATAGACTCAACAGGTTATAGGTAGGAACATATATGTATAAACATACATATATGCATGTAATAACAATTGATGAAGGAGGCCATGAATTTGAAGAAGAGCAAGGAGGAATATATGGGAGGATTTGAAGGCAGGAAAAGGGAATGGAGAAATGTAATTAAATTATAATCTCAAAAATAAAGAAAAATAAGGAAATAATATCACTTCAGATTACCCACCAAATACTGAGCGGGCCAGGTTCCCAGTATAAATCAGCCTTCCATCTTCTGGTTTATCATACATCATATGTATGCAGTGGACACATTGTTCCCACCAAACAGGTATCTATTGAAACAAGAAACCATTGACAAACTGGCTTTTTGAACAAATTTTTAGTTTTTATCAAAGCTTTATTTATTTTTTTTAAAGATTTATTTATTTATCATGTATATAGTGCAAGCCAGAAGAGGGCACCAGATCCCATTATAGAGGGTTGTGAGCCACCATGTGGTTGCTGGGAATTGAACTCAGGACCTCTGGAAGAACAGTCAGTGCTTTTAACCACTGAGCCATCTCTCCAGTCCTCAAAGCTTTATTTTTATTTATTTATAATGAAAAGAACTTGTTATAGTGTGATATAAAGAACTTCAGATTTAGCCTGGTGGTGGTGGTATAATCCCAGCACTGGGGAGGTAGAGGCAGGTGAATCTCTCTTGAGTTCAAGACCAGTCTGATCTACAGCATTAGGTCCATGACAGCTAGGTAGGGCCATTACACAAAGAAACCCTGTTTACGAAAAGCCAAAAACAAACAAACAAAATATCAAAAAACAAAAACAGAAAAACCTTCAGATTCAAAGAGACCTCTCTCTCTCTCTCTCTCTCTCTCTCTCTCTCTGTAGACCAGGCTGGCAATTGCCACCAACACCCGGCCCCCAGACCTGAGTTTTAAGAGATAAGATTTCAACCTAAGAGTGCACTCCTTTAATCCCAGCACTTGGGAGACAGAGGCAGGCAGATCTCTGTGAGGTCCAGACCAGCCTGATCTACAGAGTGAGTGCCAGGATAGGCTCCAAAGCTACACAGAGAAACCCTGTCTCAAAAAACAAAAACAAAAACAAAAAAATCAGGTTGAAGGATGGAGAGGCTAGGGCTTACTGCTCTTCTAGAAGACCAGGTTTGAGTCCCTGCACTCATAGGGCTGCTTACAACCTTCTGTAACCCAAGTTCATAGGATCTAAACATCTCCTGGCCTCCATGTACATGTGGTGCACAGAGATGCATGAAGACAAAACACCCATACAAATAAAATAAAAACCTTAAATTAAAGCTGAAAATAATAGAAAAGACATGTTATCATTTGCAACACTTCTGAGGTTCCAAGACTTAAGTCATCTCATGTGTTAGCATTTCTGGGGGGCAGTTGCACATGTGCCATCAGCATTCAGGTAAAATGCCTAATCATCCCAGGGCCTTATACAACCTATATACATGTGTGGTGTAGTTACATAACCCCAATACACATGCAATAGGAAAAAGCAGACATGTCCCTTTCCCCTCCATGTTTCTTCCAGAAAGGCCTGTGCACAAACCCCACTCCTCTTCCACTCTCTAATAAAACTGTTAGAGTGGATGCTGTTGTATATTTTGTGGTCTGTTTTTGTTTATGATAAATAACAAGACACCCAGCCGGGTAGTGGTGGTCCACATCTTTAATACCAGCACTTGGAAGCATTTTAATACCAGCAGAGGCTGACAGAGTTCCAGATCAACCTGGTCAACAGATAAGTTCCAGAACAGCTGAGACTATCCAGCAAAACCCTGTCTCGAAAAACAAAACAAAGGGAAAGGGACACCTAATGTTGATCTTCAAGTGTGTGTACTTAATCACACACACTATATATGCACAAATCATTTTTAAAATTAATTTTTTTTTCGAGACAGGGTTTCTCTGTGTAGCTTTGGAGTCTATCCTGGCACTCACTCTGAAGACCAGGCTGGCCTGGAACTCAGAGATCCGCCTGCCTCTGCCTCCCGAGTGCTGGGATTAAAGGCGTGCGCTACCAACGCCCGACTTAAAATTAATTTTAATGCAATAATCTTAGCAAAACTGTAAATTGAGGTTGTTTAGAGTTTTGGTGGGTGTGTACATGTGTGAGCACAACCATGTCCAGAGATCAAACTATAGTAACAGGCCAGGCCAACCTGCCAATCCAATGGCTTTAAAGTCTGTATTTTTGAACTGCTTACATTGTAACTAGTATTATTTTTAAAAAATACTTTCCACTGGTGGTGGTGTCCCACACCTTTAATCTCAGCACTTGGGAGGCAGAAGCAGGTGGATCTCTTGAGTTTGAAGACAGCCTGGTCTACAGAGCCAGTTCCAGGACAACCAGAGCTGTTACACAGAGAAACCCTATCTCAAAAAAAAAAAAAAAAAAAAAACAAACCTACCATCAACAACTAAATAAACCTGTTTCCCTAAAAACCTTGTACCTCATTTTTGTTTCGAAGATAAAGGTATCCAAAAATATAGCCCATGTTGATCCCTTGCCTCAGCCTCCTGAGCTTCCACTGGGATTTATAAGTCTGTACCACTATACCCAGCCCTTTTATCATTTAGAAAAATACTGCTTGAAAGCTACATGAAATTGCACAGTATCAGAAGTTTCCCAAATATTTGAAAAAGAATATCTAAAAATGAACTTCACACTGCTCTTAGTTAAAAATGTAAAAAGTATGCCTAATTTCTTTGTGTTGAAATTCAGCTAAGAGCCGGGTGGCAGGCCTGTAATCCCAGCACTTGGGAAGCAGAGACAGGTGGATTAGTTGGAGGCCATCCTGGTCTACTGAGTTCCAGTACAGCCTCAAAAGTTAGAGAGAAACCCTATCTTGAAATACACACACGCACGCACGCACGCACGCACGCACGCACGCACGCGCGCGCGGTGGCACATGTCTTTGATCCTAGCACTCCGGATCTTTGAGTCTGAAGTCAGTGCCAGGCTGGTCTAAGTGTTCCAGAACAGCCAAGGCTATATATGGAAACCCTGCTCCAAAAAAACCAAATAATTCAATTTCTACTTTAAACATTTCTTCAAACTTTATTATTACGTTTTGAGGATCATTTTTTGTTGTTGTTGCCTCTGCTGTTGTGGTTTTGAGACAGAATTTCTCTGTGTATCAGCCTGGAACTCCCTCTGTAGACAAGGCAGGACTAGGACTCAAGAGATCCTCCTGCTTCTGCCGTGCACCGCCCCCCCCCACCAGAGTTTATTAATTCTTATATTTTATAATGTAGACCTATGTAGTTTGTTCACATTAACATGAAAGGATAACCATTCATTAACCCACCTTCTCTCTCCGTAATCAAAGAAACTCCTAAAAGCAGAGATAACACAGAACTCACAAGGAAGTTATATGAGTTTTTTGGAGTCTGTCTCCTGGCGCTGCACCAATTTCTTAGGAAATCAACCTTTCTGACCTTTAGCTTTTGGGTAAGAAAGAAACTAATCCCAGTGTGGTGGCGCACGCTTTCAATACTAGCACTAGGGAATCAAATGTAAGGAGTTCTTTGTGAGTTCGAGGTCAACCTGGTCTACTCAGGCCAGCTGAGGCTACAAAGACACCTTGTTCAT